AAGTGCGGGAAATACAATTTTGCACGTAACAGCGATTATGATATCGTGCAAAGTTGTACTTATTATACAAATAATAAATCAATCGTAATTTAACGTGTAATGAGTCAAATAAAAGAAGTATAATTGATCGATCAATTTAATGATTTAATTGATTGAATCAATTTAATGATCATCATTATAAGAATGATGGAAGATTCGGGTGACGAGGCAGCAGTCGATGTTACTCGCAAATTCCAAAATACGATATATATACTCTTTGTGACTTTCGCAAACATCGAGTTTCCGATGCCTCGCGAAAGTATAAAACGTATATGCGGATAAAGATGTGCACAGTAGCCGCAATCATTGTCACTTTAACGCGCGAGAAAATTTACTCAAATATTGCTCCGTGATTCGGCGAACGAATCACGCACGAGAGGATCTTCAGGCTTCGATTCCCCCTCGGCTTTATTTTCTCTCCGTACGAGAGGCGAGTGCTTAAAACTTCGCGATAAAGCTCACTTAATCCCGCGACGTGGGTCGCATTTCGCGCAAGGACGCGCGCGATTCCCAAGCCACCGCGGGGAATCACAAACGGCTAGGTACGGGCGAGGGCAGAAAATTGGCTTGTCCAAAATTCGCCGGTCGACTGATATAACTCGCGTCCGAAGATATCGCATAAATCATTCAAACGCCTGAGCGCACCTCGGAATATCGCCGAAGGCGGCCCGCGCGATCGTAAATATTGGGCTTCGTCGTTTTTATTGATCGTCTTATGGATGTTCCGGCTGCAACAGTACGAACGCGACGCGGAAACAAGAACTACAAGAAAACAAAAAAGAAGATGTATATATATATATATATATGTACACAAAGGTTAAATTATCAACAAAATCAAGCGTCGCGCGCGCATAAATAGTATAGCGTAAAAAAAGAAAGGACGAGCTGAAACGAAGCAAACGATTAAATCATGAACGCAAATAAGCACAGATGATGAACACAATATGAGGAGAGGAGAGGGAGAAAGAGCACGAGCACGCACGCACGCGCACACACACACACACACACACACACACACACACACACACACCACACACACACACACACACACACACACACACACACACACACACACACACACACACACACACACACACACACACACACACGGGAAGGACGGGAGAAGACGGCGGGAACGGATTGGCGACAAGCGGGCGAGTGATAAACGAAATAAAAGAACACGTATACGGCACCCTATATATTTGTCGGTGTGCGTGCAGCATATCGTGAAATTTTATTTGACAACATAAAACTCTGACATCCTCCGCCGCTCGTCGGATCCGCTCGTTGGGTCCGACGACATCGCGAGAAAAAGAGAGAGAGAAAAGGAGAGAGAAAGATATACAATATTTCTCTTAGTCACGAGCTTTCGACCCGCACTCTTCACCCAATCTTCGCAAGTGGATGGAGCATCGCCACGTTTTCCAGTTGGTGCATGCGAACGCGGCTGCCCAACCACTCGCGAAACTTTCCCGAGCGGAATGTAGATGCCAGCGTCGACAAATAGGATAATAACTCCGGCTGGATATCACTTGAGCCGGCCTGGATATCGATCGTCCCGACGTATGTATATACATATATGCGTATATATATGTATATACGTATTAAAATATACTTATGTATCAATAATCGTACAGCGTCGAACGAATTGCAGTCTTATCGCGATTGCCCAAACAACTCGCGCGCCCTCCGCGAGGTGTGCCGTATAATCATGAGATAAGAACTCAAACGATGACGATGACGATGACGGGGTGAAAACACAATACAACATAATCAACTCAGGACACATAGATCAACACAGAGTTCGGGATGCAAAGCACATTTAAACGCGTCTTGGTGCGCGCTGCAGTGAGTTACGTTAAGTATCGATGCGTGTGAAGTTGCCTTTAATTCGACTTGGCGAAAATCCTCTTCGCCGCCGACGAATCGCAGCAACGATGCGCTCGAAACACAAACTAGATAACGTACTTTATATGTTAACAATACGCGACTCCTCGCAAATTGCCACAGTGGGCACGATAAACTTAACATAAGGGAAAGTCAGTCGTTGCAAATATCATTTACAGTTACGTATCTAAGTATCTATAACGTACAAAGAGAACCTGTCGTATAAAAAAAATATATGTATGTATATATTTGTGCTCTAAATTATATATACGAGATGGACGATGGACTTAACGTAAACACGTACTACGTCATGCAGGTCTAGTGATGGACTCTCTGCGAATTACTATAGTTCTAAAAAATCTCAACACGACTCGTCACTTCATAAGAATGTTAAATTTATGCTTTGGTGTCTTGTCAAGCAGTCGCGCAAACGTGGCAAATATCAGAGAGTATCCCTTAATGTTATGCACGCGCAAATTATCTCTTCCTTTTGACGTTTACTCTGCCAATTTCACGATGAATGACGAACGCTACGCAAGCGCGCGAAGCAAGAAAAAAAGGGAACACACACTGATAATTTTTTTCTTTTCTTTGGAAATTTCCAATTTCGCGGAAATTTTGCACAGACATCTTTCATGCTCGACGTTCGCGAATGCGACGTTGTTGAAGTATGTATGTGAAATGTAAGGACGGTTACTTCACTTTCATGGACGGAATCCCGTTAGGAAACACGCATTCGGTTTTGTGCACACGTTCTATTTAATCGACGAGTAAACGTCTCAGTCTATCTCTCCAGCGAGAAATTTGTTCTATAATAACGCGCACAGTAGAGATGGGCGACGTACAGAGGCTGGCGTAATAGCCTTAAACACTTATATTATTAGGATTGCTATGATTTTCAACCTTATGCACGCGTGTGCATATAGTTGAAAGTTGCAGTCGTTACGTGTTAAAGGTATATATGCCGGTCTGTGTATGCACAACAAACATCATGTAAACTCTAACACTTATTTACCAAGATTTCCAGCGACTTTTTCAACCTTACACATTACTTTTATATATAGGAGAGTAAAGATGAAAATTGTAGGAAATTCTACCTAATAATAAGTATTCTCACACACACATACACACACACACACACACACACACACACATACAGACTTATATGACACGATGATGATGAATCGACGTCCAAATTGTTTCCTTTGTTCTTTTCTTAAAGGAATGATCTCATTGATATTTTACTCAATTTTACTCAAGTCATACACCTCGCATCTGTTCAATTACAGCAGCAGAAAAATCCTTACTTTTCCAGTAAAATGAATTTCTCTTTCTTAGCAGTAAATTTACATGTATCATTAAAATATTCGCACGTCGATTCTTCTTTTCGTTATTTTCTTTCAATATCGTCCATCCCTAGCGCACGGTGATCAGATACGATTAGCCGAATCGAAAATCATTCGACTGTACATCATCGAATTAATCCAGTAAACGTATGTAAACCGTCTCGAAGACGCGCGAACCGCAGTAAAATTTAGCAGAGGCAAGAGCCTTGAGCTCTAACTATCCGAATCAAGAGCGACCTTAAAAACTCTCGGATTTGAAGAGGCTGTTCTGATGCTTCAGGCCCTCGATCAAATCCATGTGATGAGGTGGCTCGGTCACGTTGATTTTACGCTCGCGGAAATACTCCCGCCTCTGTTTGTGGCTATCCACGATCGAGCAAGCGGTCGCCTCGACGTCTCTATCTCTCGTAGCCTCGGTCCGGTCGTCCTGATCGCTCACCTGGACAATACTGTCTGGTATTGGCAGCGGCTTGGCCACGCCGATGCGTACGGTCCCCTTCGGGGCACCTTTCAGGGCCTGCACGGCCTGGTCCAGTGTTGCGTTCTCTAATGCGATGTCGTTCACAAACAGAAGCCGATCACCCGGTATTAACTGCCCGTCGACCTGCGCCACGCCGCCGGGCACGAGCGACCGTATTACTATCACAGTTTCGTTGGGGTTCATTGGATCCTAAAAGCGTGTCGGACGGAAAAAAAGAAGAAGCAGATCGGATGGTTATTACAGCTTCTCGTCGTCTTTCTTACTCGCGAGGTCTCGCGCACGACAAAAAAAAAAAAGAGAAAAAAGAGACTTCACGTTCGCACCTGATAATCCAAAATGGAGAACCCAAGGCCCCTCTCTCCCTTAACCAATTCGATAATTTGCGGCTCGGAACTCCACATCGCCAGACCGGTCAGCGGTTCCAACGAACGCGACTTCATTTTGTTTAGACTCGCGTCAGTCACCGTGGCCGTGGTCGTCGTAGAAGCCAAGGAACCGTCCGATTTTGCTTTTACGAGCCGATCCATCGTGGGCAACAAGTTCTGCAGTGACCCGCCGAGGATGCTCTACGGGAGAACACAGTTTTTCGCGGAGTGTACCTTCAAGTGACGCGCTTCTTGGCAAGCGACTCTGACAGCGGACGCTGACGCAATCGCTCTACTCACTCTAGTTTGGAAGGCGGCCTGATGCTGAGCGGTGTCGATAGGACAAAGCGGATCTTGCGAGGCGATGTTCCTTCCGCAAACCATGCGAACATGTATAGGCAACTCTTTTAGCACGCTAACCACTTCCATGTGATTGATGCCCAATAGGCGGTAGCCGTTTACCTACAAAAGCACGATATCGGTTTTAGAGATTGTTCGAGAGTAACAGAGAAGTGGTAGAATGGTGATGATGGTATTAAAAGAAGCAGAGCGCCCAGTCGAGCGCTTTGAAAGGAAAACGTTGGACGGAGACTTTGCTAAAAGAGATACGGAAATTCGATAACCTCTAGCAGCTCGTCTCCGGAGCGTAGCGTGCCGTTCTGTCCAACGGGGCCCTCCGGCAGAATAGAACGTATATAGTGATGAGGCCTGACTTCTTGGCCGTTCTCCACGTCGACTGTTCCCTCCAGGCTGATTCCGAGACCGCTGCCTTCGGCGAATTTTTTCAGTTGGGCGACCTGTTCGAGTGACAAGGAAAAAAGGGGGAGACGCATGAAACGTTTCTCTCTCTCTCTCTCTCTCTTTTTCACATACACACACACACACACACACACACACATACATGTATACATACACAAAATAGTTTCTACAGATAAAATCGCGTCGCGAAGGCACTTACCACAATTTCGGTGTCTGGCCCGACGATCTTCTGCCACTTGGACTTGATCGCAGCGCGGATCTGAGGCGTAAGCTCGCTCGAGGGATCGCTCAATAGCGCTTCCACGTTGGTCGCGTCATCCTGCTCGTCCGACGTTCTGATGCGCTCGCCTTCCTGCAGAATCGCGCTGTCTACAGTGGTGTGGGATTCACCCTCCGGCTCGATCTCAGTGGTGGTTTCTCCATCCTGCGCCACGTGGAAAATAGATTCAGTAACGTCGTTATAATACGCGAATGGTATATATATGCACATAACCCGCAGACGGCTGGGGTTTTGCAGTCGCAAATTTGCGATATTCCGGATGGCGAAGGGAAACGTTAAAATTCAAGAAGCGAGCAAACACGGAGTGCGATCGATCTTGGAGCGAACGCGACGAGATGATATTTGATTAATAACCGGCGGCGGTGGTGTAGAGGTAACTCTCGCTCCGAAAGCTACTTTCGGCCAACTTCTGTTTCTAAACAAAAGGCAGGACTCACCGCGCTCATGGGGAAACTAGGTAGGCTCGTTATAGACGGGGAACTCGGCTGAGGTAGTCTTGATTCGCTCGCGGCGATCGCCTGTTGAAGCTGCTCGAACTTTGGTCCACGTAGATATCGCTCCAAGCAGAGGGCTACCGTCTGCCCCGTGCGCCTCAACACCTCCACGGCCTCGTGATTAGTGTAGCCCTGTAGAGAATGTCCGTCCACCTCCACTATTCGATCATTTATCTGGATCTTATTGCTGAGATCGGCCGCGCTACCCTCGCTGATGCTCTTGACGAAAATCCCGGAAAGTTCCTCTGCGAGAACCGAAAGCAAAAGTTTTTCATCAGCAACGCGCGTCGAAAGACGCGCCGCCAGTCGCTCGTCTGACATCGATCAATCCGCGTGACTTCATCGGCCTAATATCTTTCAACTCGCGAGCTCATCGAGATGTTCTTTTTCGAAAAGGCGTCGGCGTTACCTCTGCCGTGGGGAAAGGTAGCTTTTCGACATACTGATTGCGCTTGCGGGCTTCCGTTACCTTTCTCGCAGACGTATCCGGCGATCGTGATCCCGAGGCCGTAGATGTCCTTCGTAAGCTCGACCGTGAAGCGCTCCATTTCTGGCAGTGAATTAATATCGAGAGGCTCCATGGTGAGCACCGGTAAATCCTGCAGTTGCACCGGAAGTGGCACCGCCGGTATAACTGGCATCGCTCCAATTGGCATTGGGTTGCGTACCACGTCCATGATGAGACCGGGTCTTGCCTGAGGCAGAAAAATTTTTCCATGTCATGCCGGCGGTCTGATGCGACATAGGAAGAAATGATTCTTCGTCTCTTCCCATCTCTTGTCTTCTCTTCCCGTCTCCTCTCGACGCAGAGCAGAAAGGATATGGGCGGGCAAAGGGAGGCACAGAGATGAACAAAGGGCGAAGGGGGGTGAGATTCGCATCGCAACGCGAAGGAGGAAACGCGACGACCGCCGTGAGCCGTGGCTCCTGGACCACTGCTGTACACCACACGTACACACATATACTCACGTGCATTTCAATGTCGGATTCCTGCGAGTACATATATCCGTCGTAGCTCGAGTCACCCTGCGCGTGTCGCGCGTTGTAGCTGTCCGAGACGCTGTGCACCAGATGCCTGTCCAACTCGTCCGGATCCCCGAGGATTTTCGTAGGGACGATCGGAGCGTGACTCCCGAGAGCCTAGAAGCACACAACGGCCAAAGGGGAAATTTTGCGCGTGTCTTTCCGCGCGACGTCTTCACGTTCAAATTTATGGGAACTTTTTCATTCGTCAGCCGCGAATGCTTGAGCTCGAAACGGTCACACCGGTCGTCGGCACTGGCCTCGGTGTCGGCATCCTCCTTGTCGGCGCAACGCGTGCGAGGATGCGGAAGAGCTCCTTCTTCCGTGAAGCTCCATGGCGCGTGTGAAACGTTAACTAAAGATCCTGCGCGGTTCTTTCCTCGGTAAAATTTCTCACGAGGATTACGGAAACGGCGCGGCGACGGCGATAGAACCGCGCATGGAATAATAACGATCGTTGCGCGCGTTAAGCCCGCGTGTGAACGGATTGCGGAGCGATGTGTAGCATACTGCATCAGTTTACAGCGAAAGGGCTTCGGAACTTTGGAGAAAAGAAAAAGTTTCCGTTCACGAACGGCTACGGTTAAAAGCGGCCATTCTCCACTCCCGGCTCTCTCTCTCTCTCTCTCTCTCTCTCTCTCTCTCTCGGTGCGTGTAGTAGCGTCAGATCGAAAAATCCCGCTCCCGCCCGGCGCTTTTCAGTAAACGCTTCGTATTCATCGATCCTTCTTCTCAACGGATCGATCGACGAAATCTGGAGCGTGTATAACGCGCGTCATTTTCCGGACACCTCCTTTTTTCAGGTCAGGTTTTTCAACTTTCACGGACGCGTTACGTAGCACGGGTGCGGGCTTTATCACACTTCGCTTCGCAGCGACCCAACTGGAGTCTCGCCTCGGGGGGATTTTATCAGGTCTTAACAAGTGATATTTACAAGTCAACAAGCAACGAGGACAGTTTGTTACAACCTTTTCAAAAAAAGGGAGAAGAATAGAAAGAGAAAGAGAGAGAGAGAGAGAGAGGGGGGGGAGAGAGGAAGAGAAAGAGGGAAAAAGGGGAAAAAGTCGTTCGCCGAAAGGTGTTTGTCACCGTAGCTTGCTGACAGAACCGGTCGCGCGCTATTTAATATTCGCGTAAAGTACGGCGGCCGAATTATACGTGAAGCGCAGGATATAAATATCGATCAGGCGATAGAAATTGAAAGACCGGGAGAGCGAGAAGCCGAGGAAGAGTGCGCTTTTACTCCCGCGTAGCATTGCGCGAGCGTCGAGGACGCTCCGTGCTATCAGACTTTTTTCTCTTTTTCCCCTCTTTTTATTCTTATTTATCCTTTCGTTCGCGTCTATTTACCGAGTACGCGCTCCGCTCCCGCGCGTCGTGTCGAAGAACAGCTGGTGGGAAAGCAAATGAAGATACTTTGTTCCCGCGAAAATATGGCCGCGTTTAACGCGGCTCAGTTCCCGCGGAGACCAGGCACGTTCCGGAGGTTAATTATGCCGGCTGTAGCTAAAATTAAAGCTCGCGGATCTCATTTCGTACTCTTCGGAATTCTCCCGCACAACGCGTTTACGCGCGCGAGCGCACACGCGCCGTAAACAGCTCATTTATTACGAAAGATAAACTCGAGTGACGGAATCCTCTAATCCTCTCAATCGTCCAAATTTCAAACTTAAACCCCCGCGTGGCGATCCGAGCAGGTTCTATTTTCCCGCAATTTCGCTCACAGCAGAATCTCGCGCACGCGAACGGTTACTGCTGGAAATAATGGAACCGTCGCCCCGTAGAGAAAATATCCTCCTGCATTATTCATAATCTTCGAATTACAGTCGCACGGAGTGCGGCGTGGCGCTCGAAAATCCTGGACGCATTTTTCTTCGTCCTCGAGCTCTCCGTTTCTCCTCCATTTCGACGTCTTCGACCCACCTCCGTTATCTTCTCCCAAGTCGCGCGGGTAAGCCAGAGAGGACGCGAGAAAGTCTTCTCGAGATCCTCGCGGTTGTCCTTTTGTCGTTTTCTTCACGATGTCGATGCGCATTGCAGTCTCATCGATAGTATATTCGATTTCGCCGCGATTTAACGCAATTACACATGTGAATTCCGTGTTCGGAGCCGTCGCTACAGATAGTCGATAAGCTTTGACAATGACGTACGCGAGCCGTGTGGTGCCATCAATCTCCAGACATGGCGGACATCTTAAAACCACGCGCTAGAATTTAATGGCTCGCATCTCGCCCACCTAACGCGCGTCTACTTAAATATGTAGCCACGTGGAAGAAGGCCGTGCAAGCAGTGGACGGACGCGCGTTTGCTCGTGTTTCTCGCTTCTAATTTGCGCCGAGCTGATAAATAGAACGAGCTTCACAGCGTTGTATACGTTCGCTCGTTTACTCCTTCCTTCCTTCCTTCCTTTTTTCCTTCCCTCCTTCCTTCCTTCCTTTCTTCTTTGCTTCCTTTCGTCGGATAGTCCCGAGAAAAGAATGACGCGGAAGGAAAGAACCAATACAAGCTGTTCTCTTCAAGAAGACCGCGTTGCACACCGCCGAACGGGGACGAAAATGATGGCACGTGTGCAGTATTCGTTGAGAGCCCGTCGCAACCGTCGCGCCGCGCCGGCGATATGTGCAGTATACAAGGGCGCGATGATTTAATAAATTAGCGAAACCGCGTGAAATTAAATTTGCGTCGAGCTCCATTACTCCCGCCGTGTCTCTTCGCGCTTCGTCGGTGGATGAACGAGCCGGAACTCAAACGCGACACGGTCGCGTAATCTTCAGTTACAGGTACGTTATTTTTTGCTGAAGTAAACGGCAAAGAGGTGAGAGAACGAGACGAGAACGGTCGTCAGGGGCCGTGCGATCGGACGATTATCGGAGAGTTCTGTGGCCTCTCAGCGGCGCGATCAGCCGCCTCGGCTTTGGAGCTGCGGCGGTGGATTACGACAGCGTAAATGAAAGGCAAACGGTGGCGCCGTCGGCCGCCGCTGCGCCTAATTAGTCGCGATCGAACGCGGAGGACGAGTCGCGCGACGACGACGACGACGACGACGACGACCACGAAGAAGGGGGACTGCACGTACCTGGTAATCCGGCGAAGTCGGCTCCACGGGTCGCGCGACGACGAGCCGCACGTGTGTGCCCGATTGCCGTAAAACCGCGGCGACCTGCTCGCTCCCCATCCCGCGTAGATTGACATCGCCGATCTGCAATATGTGGTCCCCGCTCTGGAGTCGATTATCCTGCGGACGTACAATGCGAAAAGGAACGTTTAATTTCCGCGACTGTCATCCGGAGGGTAAACGCAAATATTTGCGTCCCGGATTTTTCTCGCTTCGCGTTTCCTCAGTTCTTTTCCTTTTTTTCTTTCTTTTGTTCGAGAGGGACAGACGAGGGGGGGGGGGAGAAGGAGAAAGAGAGGGAGAGAGAGAAAGGGCGTGACAAGGGTTCGAGAGAGGGAAAGGGTTTGTTTTACGCCGTAAGTCACCTCGGGGCGTGCGTTTGATGTCGAAATTAAATCTATAGATTCGTGCCGCACGCACGACTCCGGGCTGTCCGTTGGACTGTGTTGGATAAACGTACTGCTGTGGAAATCCGACGAGGAAGTTCAATGAGAGAGAGAGAGAGAGAGAGAGAGAGAGAGAGAGAGAGAGAGAAGAGAGAGAGGGGGGGGGAGGAGGGAGGAAGAAGGAGAGAGAAGGCAGTAGGAGCACAGAGACCGAGTAAAAGAGTGAAAGATACACGCAACGCCGGCGGATTATGATTAAACGAGTAAGCCATCAAAAATTAAAACATGAAGCGACTAATTGAAAAAGCGACTGCACTGCTGAGGATTATGTCCGTGATCCGAATTGACGTTACAAAAAGCGTGCTCGTGAAAATGTAAGATATAAATGTAAAAAATATATAAAATAAATGCAAATGTAAGGAAACTGAAGCTAGAATCAACGCCATGTGAGAGAAAAATATTTATCGGCTCAGTGAAAAAAAGTGCGGCTCGATTTTCGGATGAAATTTCACGTCGTGGCGTCCGGTGGAAATCGACTGTTCGTCGGTCAAGCAATAAGCCGTTGTTACTTGCGATCTTGCGCTGACGCAGAACATCATCAGCATGGTCGCTTGTACCCGCGGGTAACGCTATTTACTACGATCGAACCGAACATCTTGATTGACCCGATTCGTATTTGATTTACTCACGCGATCGGCAACTCCCCCTGGAAGAATGGTTTTGACGACGACGCCGGTGCTACGGCCGCCGATGATACCGAATCCAAGACCGCTGCCATCGTTGATGAGATTTATCACTTCAACTTGAGCCCATTCCGTATTCAACTGTGAAAAGAGAAGAGAAGAGAACGCCTGAGATCGGGTCCTTTATTACTGAAAAAACGCCTTAACGATATCATCAAGCGCTTCGTCTTCGCCCTCAAACGACCGACTGTGTGCTGGCCAATGGCACCACAATGGCACGGGGGGCCGAACTGTCGGCTGCCATTTTTATGAAAATTTTATTACAATCAGCCGACTCCTCCCGAATCTATCGATCAAGGCGAGCATAAAAGAGAACTTCAGAACGGGACCCTCCCTTTTAATTTTAATTTCGGCGCGACGGTTGGCCGGTTTAATCGCGCATGGGGAAAGGAGCGGCGCGTCTTGCGGAGATTCAAGTCGCACCTTCTTCAGAACGTGATTACGGTGAGATTTAGCTTTATTAAGAGACTACTCAGCGGCGAGCGCGCGCGTGCTGCATAATAAATTTCGTGAATCGTCCCCATACCGTGCAGACCGACGGAAAGCGACGTCGTACCTTCGTATAATCGGACGTTGCGCGGGAGACTTTCCGTGGATACGTTTCGCATATTTTCGCACACGTGCTCAGTTGTGACGACGACGTTAACGAAAGCATCCATAATCCACAGTGCGGAAAGAAAGGGCTAATGAGGATGAAGTATGACGGCGGGAAATAAGGGTAACGACGCCGAGAACGGCATCCACCTCGCCGTGGCATATTTTAACAAAGTTAACGAAATGAACAAGATTACTCGGGATTTTCAGTAACGACGAGAAATTCGATTTGTCGCGTCGACGGCGCGCTTAAGAGCCAGATTAATGCGCGACATTTTCCCGCGCTTTAAAACACGACGAGCGTATGCAAGGTCCTCTCCGTGCGTGTCACCGACCGACCTGTCTTTGCGGTTAACGTGACATGCGGGTAAATAATTGCGCTTAGTGGCGGCCAATTTACATTCGAGAATTACCGCGAACGCGGCAGGACCATTGTGTCGAAATTCCCCACCGTGTGATTCATCAATTTTCTTGCCGCTTAAGCTCGCTGCATTCGCCAACGAGCATTGCGTTTGCCAGCGGCCTTTATCCGAGCATCAAATGATTTCAATAGCTCATTGTAAATTTGTATAAAGGCAACAAATAACGAACGAGTACATCGCAGGTAAAGTGCCCTCCAAATTTCTCGGAACGAGGTCTCGCTCAAAGTCGCTGAAAAGTAGCGGCATTTTCTCCCGAAGCGTTAAAGAAAATGCCGCCACTCGCGAAATCGCACGAACAAATATTTCGCTCCAACTTCGAGCAAGTTCCGTACACAAGCGAATGTTCCAATCGATTTGACTGAATATATTCTCGTGACGATGGAGTACCTCGGATTCGGCCTTGAATTTCGCACGAAGGTATTCACCGGCCGATTCAGCCTGGCAAATTTACTCAATCCGCGCGATGAAGACTCACTCGCCGCGTCGGTCATGTTGCTTTTCGCTCGAGATTTCTCTTCGAGAGATCTAGAGCGTACTTATTAGCCAGATTGCAGCCGCGAGTTTGC